CCTGAAGTTTGGGGTGCGCAATGATCAAGACCAAGTCGTGCGAGTAGCTCTGGAGGTTCTGCTGGTTCGAGGCCTTGGAGCGAACATACTTTCGGTTGGAGCGCTGGCCGAGAAGGGGGTGATGTGTGATCTGATGTCTACCCCGCCGGCGCTTCGCATGGGCAACCAGGTCTTTCCGATCTCGACCGCAGTGCCTCGCATGTACGTGCTGAATGTCATCATCGACGACGTCAACCTGGGCGCTGTAGAAGTAAATCGCACGAAGGTAGACGCTCACCTGTGGCACCGGAGGATGGGCCACTGCAACTCGCGAGCGCTGCAGCAGCTGGCGGACAAGGACACTACCGGAATCAGGTTCAATCGCAACATCGAACCAGGTGACTGCGGTGTTTGTGCGGTTGGTGACAGTAAGAAGGGCAGCCACCCCCCGTCTAACCGTCCCCTCTCGGAGACTCGGCTGGAAATTCTAAATGCCGATACGTGGGGGAAACATCCTATTGCTACATACGGGGGTTGCCAGAGTGCCGTGATGTTTACTGATGACGCTACTCGCATGAGGTTCGGCTACCTACTCAAGACGAAAGACGAAACGGCCGAAGCTCTTCAAACTCTGGTTCGGGACGAGGCCGACCCGCTTGGTCAGAGCATCGGCACGGTGCACTGCGACGGGGGAGCGGAGTATTTGGGAAAGTTTCTGGCGCTATGTATGTCGCTCGGAATCAAGCTCACGAATAGCCCCCCCTACGTCCCGCAAGGGAACCCCATCGCCGAGCGTGGATTTGGTACCATCATCGGCACTGCCCGCAAGCTTCTCTTGGGAGCACCGCACCTTCCTCAACAGCTGTGGGGGGAGGCTTTCATGACTGCAATCTACCTCAAGAATCGGACCCCGACCGAAGTCCTGGGCGGCAAGGCACCACTCGAGGTATGGGAGGGGAAGCCGCTCGGAAAGATGCTTCACATCCACGAGTGGGGGTCGCTGGCTTTTAAGCACGAAGAGGTACGCGCCCGGTCGAACAAGTTGGCGGCCAGGGCCAAGAAAATGTGCCTAGTAGGCTGCAACTCCAAGGGTAGGTCGTATCGACTTTGGGACCCTTCGGAGCCTCTCAAAATCACCAACTCCGTGGAGGTATCGTTCCGTGAGAAGGAGATGCGCGACGTGATCAAGCCCAAACTAGGGCAAGATCCTCTCCCCGCGCCTAACTCAACATTCTATCGGCCTGGTCTGGTAGACTCTATCGGACAAGAAGAAGAAAATAACGAAGAATCATCCGACGAATCGGAGCCGGAAGCACCGGCACCTCGCCGCAGCAGCAGGAACTCCGTGGCGCCGCAACGGTTGAATCTGTTTACGAAAGAACAGGCGTACGAGAGGACCGAACATGCTATGGTGACTGGAAGTGA